GTGTGTTAGTAAGCTTCAGGCAAGATCAAGCCATCCTATTTCTCTTGCCACAACCATGTCCTCCCTGCAGGCAGCTGTGACTAACTGTGCTGAAGGAAAGCTATCTTACTCAAGCTTGGATCACCATTGTCTCCAGACACTGATAACAATGAAAACAAAACAAAACCCACAACCACATGACCTGTGTGTTCATTAGGTGTCACCATTTGCAAGGCTCAGGAGTTTAAAAACTCCTGCGGGTGCAAAGGACTCAGAGGTGACTGTGGACTTTAATTGGGGATTCCTATTTATGTCATTCCAAGAAAGGCGTGCTTTCCCACGCTCTAACTCTGACCTTTCTCTGCGTGATGAGGGCTTACTGCAGACTGTCACAAGTTGCTCAGTGGCCTCTGTGCTACCTACTTGCTTTAGCGCCATGATGATTATTACAAGAAGTACTTGACTCGCTGCACATAGCAATTAATCAAATTATTTTTGCTCTGTTGGCAAATCAGAGAGCAGACCATCACTGGAGGGCGCCTGGAGACAGGGACCCGTTTTTATGTGAAACGGAGTTGGGGAGCATTCTTCCTAGGCCAGCAGCAAGAGAAAAATGCTGTCCCCAACTACAGTTTTGTTATCTTTACAGGCACCTCTGCGGATAGGAACCTGTTTTTCACCAGAAAAAGTTTCGGGATTACTGGAAAAGGAGAGTGGAATCATAAAAGCTGAGCGTTCGGTTGACTCTTCTTGGCTCTGTACGCCCCCTGGTGGTTATATGGTGCATTGTTTTTTTTAATCATAGACACCCTGCTTCGACTTTAGGCAGGTATCAGGTAATCACACATTAACTAGGTTGCAGGTAAAAACCCACTAAGTAACCAAGAAGAAGGTTTACGTTGCATCCAGGCGCATTTCTTAAAGAGATAAGATTTCACTTGTGAAAAGTGGTGAATAAGCATGTGGGTCCACAGTTATCACAGGAGACATGTTTCCATCAAATGTTGGGGTCAATAGGATGGATCTTTGGGTATATTGAGAGGAAGAAAGCACCAACAACATTTTAACCCATCCATTCCAGCTGAGGTTAACTTTTTAATTTTCCCTCCAAAACAATGATATAGGACCTGAATTCATATGAACATTCCAGTACTATAATACACATAGTGATAGAATACATGAAATACTAGTGGAATTAGTTTTATTTATTGTATATCTTATCCTCTGTTATATGCTCCACTCTCTAGCATAAAGAGGGGAGGAACAAGGGATACAGTCTAATTAGGAAGTCCTCTTTGAAAAAGAGGATGGGTAATTGTCCAAGAAAATGTGCCATTATCCATTTTTTTTAAGGATGTAGGATTTTATTTTATTTTTTTTAAGCTTTAGGATTGCTCTCCATAGGTCCAGTGCATCTATAGTGTGGCTCCATAGCTTTCAGTATTTTGGTAAATTATGCTACATCAAAACAAGAATAGACTCTTGTCTTTTATAAGGTGTTTTTTTTTTTTTTTAAACTGCCTGGCTGCTTGGTCATAATCAAGGTAGTTGTACATCTTTGCCTTTGCTGTGATGTACAGTCTCTGAGAGGATCTACTCCCATCCTCCTCCTCTTGTTACTCAAGACAAGCCCTTGTGTCATCTCTCCTCTGATTGTGGACTAGACTTACTGCCACTCCCAATGCATCAAGTGCTGCAGAAGTGATGCAATGGTTTCTTCCACCCTAACCAAGATTAGGTTACAGGAAGACTGGTTTGTCTTTCAGTAGTAGGCGAATACCCGTCAGTAGGTGAATAGATGAGTAAACTCATATCCAAACAATAGAATGTTATTCAGTGCTAAAAAGGAGTGAGCTAGGAAGTCATGAAAAGACACGGAAGGACTTGAGTGAAAGAAGCCCATTCGAAAAGGCCACATACTCCACTACATTCCAGAAAAGGACAAAATTATAGAGATAGCAAAAAAAAAAAAAAGTGGTTGCCAAGAGTAAGGGGTGGGAGGAATGAATAAGAGTTTGAAGAAGGCAATAAAATTGTTCAGTCTGATACATGGTGGATACATGTGATTATACATTCATCAGCTGTTTATAAAATGTATAGGCTTATCAGTTGCTTCCCACTTAGAGAAACCAGCCAAGTTCTTATTCTTTGATTAGTGAGTTTTCTTAACCTCATGAAGCTACTTTACTTAGCATGCTTTGATTTGCTCACCTGCTTATTTTGCAGTAAGCAGGACTGCTTGTGATCTCGCTAAGAAAGAGACACATCCTGTAAGTTAGGTTTGTGTCTAAAGCAGGTTTCACAAGCTGCACAAAAAAAAAGTGTTTTCTTTAGTATGTTCCAACTGCTTGTGATTGAATGGGATTTAAATTATATTGTTCATGAGTTTTTGTGGAGTTGAACTTTTGTTTAAAAAAGTTATGTGTATAGCTACTCAAGTCTACTTCTCTAGTGAAGTAACACTGCATTATAATACTACATTAGTTTCAGCTGTGCATCACTAAAAATTAACGTGTACATATGATGCATGAAGTTCATGCTAGATATCCCATTCTACCTTTCAACACATCATTGTCCTCTTCTTTCTGATTGACCCATTCTCATTCACTTTTCCTTCTGGTAACCCCTGATTGGTCTTACAGTCCACACAAGTACATTCTGATGGAAAATTACAGATAAATCAAAAGTTCCCTTCATCATTGTCATGATTCCGACGCCACAAGCAGAACTAACCATGAGTGCTATAATCCTCCTAGGATTTTCTCTGTGCATTTATCTTCTTATAACTATACATGTATATTCTTGTAACAGCAGTTATGCATATCAGATAATTTTATTCTGCTTTTCAAGAACTTTCCACTATAAGTAGTATTTTCCACACTTCCAACTATGGGCTACAAGACTCCACACACTCTGGCCCTTGCCTGTCTCTTTCACCTTCTCACTTATCAAAAGGTGCAAAAGTATTTCTCCCACAACTTTCTGTATGTGTTTTTATTCTACTTTAAACATTCCACTTCTTCTCAACATAGAAGTCTAAGTTGAAAATTCACCTCCTTCTCAGCCTAGAGAATACTCTGGATGCCTTCTCTAAAATGGTATATCCCACCACTATCTCCACTTCTACTCTCTTTCCAATCCCATTCCCTTGTTTCAGGCAAGAATTGCACCCTGGTGCATTCCATTTTGCCTAAGCTATTAAATCTTTCTGAGCATTGGATTTGTCATCTGAAAATAAGGATACGTAAAGCACCTACTTTCGAGGTGTTTATAAAATCAAAGCTGTGAATATTTGTAAAGCACTAAACATAATGAAGCCTAATAAGTTGATAAAGCTTTTCTTTAGCCTGTGTCATAAGGGGGCGTCATTTATTTGTGTATTTATCATCTCTCTTCCCTAGAATGTGGGATCTCTAAGTGCAGGAGGCTGCATCTGTTTTGTTTAAAGTACCAGAAATGGCACCTGACTCACAGCACCCTCAAAAAGTAAAAGTTGGACTAATTAATGCTCAAGTCTCCTTCATAGGCCTCTGTGTGCACATGAAAGAAATTAAAAATGGGGCCCTCCCTGGTGACACAGTGGGTTAAAGCACAGCACTAAGAAGCTAAAGCCACTCCGGCATGAGTTTGATCCCCGTCTGCCCTGGAGGTGACCACATGGCGCGGCAGACCTCTCCTGACCCGCCCGCTGCTCCCCTCAGCAGTGTACTTGTCAGTCGGCCTGCTCTGCTCCCCACTCTGTCTCTGGTGAAGCCTCTCATCGCCCTGCACCCCTGACTTGTACCCCAGTTCTGTATGAATAAATTAATAAATTTCAAACAAAAAAGAAAAGAAATGAGGCATGGGTCCTGATTATAGGAAGTATCCTTTAAAAAAATAAATTAAAAATTGAAAACACTGTCCCGCTTTTATGAAAAGCTTTTTAAACTTTTATACGCTGGCCACCACTAGCTGCTAGGATGTGTCTTGTGTGGTTATGCTAAAATGGATGCACCTGCCCTAGTACCTCCAAAGTAGGATTTGGCCCAACTACAATTATCTCGGGTGTCTTGTTCATACAACAGCCATATAAGACGAAGAGGACACAGCCATATACCCTAGATATTTAGAAAGGCGCTAGCAGCCGTTATGCTGCAAAAATGACATTCACCTTCCAGGCATTCATCAGCCGGTTGATTTGGGATTATGTAAGGGATGGAGAAAGGGAAAAGCTTCCAGTCTGACTTTGTCAGATCAGCAGTCCTAGTGAGCAAGTGCTCAGGACCTGTGAACCTCAGTTCAATTTGGAAAACTCTCCTTAAAGAGGTTAATTGTATTTTCTGCAGAAACCCAAGGTTTCTCCAGTAGTGCTGAAGTAGTCAGTACCAGCAGGAGGCTTCACTAAGGAAACCCTGGCATGCATTCTGCCACTCTGCAAAGACGCATAAAAATTTATTTCTTCAAACATTTTCTTACTGCATCAGGTCTAACTGGTTTACCTCCCCAAAATGAAGAAGGAAACGAAAAACAAAAAAAAAAAGCAAAAAATCCAGTAGATTTCTACTTCCCAAGCTGAACTTGTGAAAAAGACGGGTTTTTATTGCTTTATTCGTAGCGCCTGTAATGGGTCTGAAATTCACCCAAGGAAAGAAATTTCTATCTCTGTCCAAGACTTGACCCTGATGTATGCACGATGAGTCCCCGGAAAAGTCTGTTGATGCACAGATGAGTCGGTTTTCTTAATCATCTCAGTTACTGAGGGCGCAAGGTGGCAAAGCGGCGTCTCGCCCACCACACAGGTGCCGCATCTCCCAAAGCTGCCAGCAGCAGGAACCGGCCTATAACGCTGAACCTCGGGACAGGTTCTCTCCGCGATTGGAGGCTCGCTGGACTACATTTCCCAGAATTCGCAGGGACGTCCGGCGCAGGCGCACTTGGAAAACTACGGCGTCCGTCTCCTTCCCAGAACCTGGCAGGTCACTCCCATCCCGCTGCAAGCTCCTCCTGTTGTCTGCAGTCTGTGCTCCAGCGGTGTCGCTGGTGGAGTGTCTCAGCGGGCAGGACTCATGGCCTCAACGCTGAGGTTCGACGGGCGGGTGGTACTGGTCACCGGCGCGGGGGGAGGTGAGCACGCCGAGGCTGGAGGGCGGGTTTGCTTGGCTGGCTCTGGGTGGCTAGTCTCCCCCTTCAGGCCGGGGTGACGCGCGCAGCCGCAGCAGCTGTCCTGGCGTGGGGGCGGTGGGCGGCGGTGGAGGGGCGGCTTGAGGACCTGGTGGAACGAGGTGGGAAGCCCGCGAGCTGCTGTTTTCGGCACCCCGACTCTGCTGAAGAGGCGGGAGGTGGGAGTGGTAGGCCCTCAGCGGGGACCTAGACACTCCTGGTGACACAGGTGCAACCTCTGCACCCCTTTTACTCTTCACCCACCTCTTGTCCCCCCACTTCCCGGTGGGAACTTCCCAGGGTCTCAGGCTTGGCGTGGGGAGACAGGCGGGAGCTGGCCTGCGTGTTGCAGAACTGGGTGAAAGTTCTTTCTGACTTTGGCCAGTGCTCACTGATTGCGACTCACTCTTTCAGGAAAGCCTTTTAAAGGTTCCAGAAAAACCTTCAAGGCTGGAATTCCCCTCCCCCTCCCCACCCCCACATCTCCTGTAGAGTTGTCAGCCCCTTGCCTTTGACGGGAAGGTCAGTGTTTCTCTCCATTTGTCGAGTTTTTTAGTTGAGAGGCCTTCTTTCAGTTGGCATTTGAGTGCTTAGCAAGACAAGCACTCTACTCAAAGTTCACCCGAGTTTTGGCAAGGGTTGTGAACTCAAATGTCTCCAAGAGTACAGCGAGTGTTAGAGGAGTAAATGGGAATCCGGTGGGACAGTAAGGACTGGAGAGCAGAAATATTTCAGAAGTGGCCCAAATCTTAATATTTTAGGAGAAGCAAAAATGCAGATTTACGATGTGACATAGTCTAATTTTTTAAAGGACAAAAGGTTTAATTAAACCAGTCACAGCCACACTGATACCGGCAGTGGCGTTTTTTACACTTTTTCCCACTGTTTCAGTGCTGGGGTAACTTCGGACTGCAGGAATCTTGATCTTTCCCCACTGATTGTTCCTTAGACCTAGAATGCACTGTTAATTTGAATGATATATTAATAAGTACTTTCTAAATTGTTCATGTTTTGGGGAAAACATTTTGTTTACCCCGCTTTTGAGGGAAATAATTAAGTCAATGCACATATATTGCTTAATTGCATATGTATGCATTGACTTAATGATTTATATGGCAGTCAGGTTTACAAACCTCCTCTGACAGTGAGCTGTTCACAGTATAAGATGCATTTGGCTCCAGACCCCCAGTATAAACACACAGTCTATATTTGAATCAGTCATGATTTGGCACATACTAAGTGCGGTAAATATTGAAGTTTCTATTCTGTTTCACTAAGTAAATGCTGATTGCAACCCAATATATTGATTTCTTGAAGCATTAATGAGTTATGAGTAGGAAATTATAAACATAGCCCCCTCCTGTTCATAAACTGGTCCATGTTTCAAAGGGATCTGCTGATTTTCATTGCCTGGATTATGATATGATCACTAGCCATGGATTTGAATGCTGATCTGGGGAAGAAACTTAATTTTGTAGTTGAGACTGTTACAGCCATGGTTGAGGGAGAGAGATAACGATCTGATCTAATTCCAATCTTGTCATGGAAAATGATTATCCTTGAACCTTGGAATTCTAAGTCCTATCTGTCAAATTGAGGCTGGCTTGGACAGACTAGGAAGGTATCCATGAATGACTGTTGAGCCTGTCTGGAATTTAGTCTGACTTCAACCTACTTGTATTCTACAGATGAGTAGAAATATCTGCACTGTTCAGGTGTTGTTGTTAAGCTTGGAATATAGTTCAATGAAGAGAGGAAGGAAAGGATTAGAATTGTTGAGGTTTGAGGTAAACAATTTCACCATGACTGGTGGTTTAACAGGGTGATTTGTATTTACCACAGTTTCTTGCAGATTTAACTGTGTGAGAGTGGTTGAGTTGAGCAATGGAAGAAAGTAAGTCTAGCCATTTTGAATTTCTGGTTATACAGTAAAACATTGTTACCTGTGAGAAATCTGAGGAGGTGTAGATTCCTAAGTCATCAAAGAGTTTGAAGTCATTTGAATTCCTTTAGTAAAGTAGAAAGTGAGATAGTCGAAGCTGTCCTCAGTTGCTCTGTTAGCTTGAAGTAGATAAGAGTCTTAACCATAGAAGAGAATACTAAAGAAATTGTTTTAGAAAAAAGACTCAACCAGAATTTGAAATGGAGATGAGAGGATGACTGACAGTAACTGTAGTTGTGAGATTTAAGGCAGGATTTTTTTTTAAAAATTGATTTGTTGGCCCTCCCTGGTGGCGCAGCGGGTTAAAGCACTGCGCTGAGAAGCTAAAGCCACTTCCGCATGAGTTCAAATCCGCCTGCCCCGGAGGAGACCACATGGCGTGGCAGACCTCTCCTGACCCGCCCGCTGCTCCCCTCAGCAGTGTACTTCGTCGATCTGCCTGTTCTGCTCCCCGCTCTGTCTCTGGTGAAGCCTCTCACCGCCCCTGAGCCTCTGGCCTGTACCCCAGTTCTGTATGTACAAATAAATAAATCTTTAAAAAAAAAAATTGATTTGTTTATGCATATGGAAATGGGGTACAGGCCAGAGGAGCAGGGGCAGTGAGAAAATTCACCAGAGAGACAGAGTGGGGAGCAGAACAGGCAGATCCACGAAGTACACTGCTGAAGGGAGCAGTGGGCGGGACAGGAGAGGTCTGCAGGCGCCATGTGGTCAATTCTCTGGCTAGGGATCGAACTTGTCCTGAAATGGCTGTCTCTCACTTGCAGTGCTGCACTTTAACCCACTGCACCACCAGGGAGGGCTATAAGGCAGGATTTAATAGCGGAGTAATACAAAATAGAGACTCTTGAATTTCACATTTTTGTGCAGTTTGCTCAGTTGTAAAGCTGTGCTGGGCTTTGTGAGCAGTGCAAAAAGACTGACATGCACTGTCCCTTCTGAGGCCTTCAAGAACCTTCTAGTTTAATTGATGAGTCTTAACTTCTACATAATGTTTACACATGCACAGGTACAAAACATGGAGGGGCCTTTACTAATCTGTTAATATGAAATCTGGACAACTTGTGCTGTTGCAGGGAAGTAGGGTGCTGACTCATACTTTTTACTTTGTATACATATTTGAGTCGTTTGTATGAACTTTCATGATAAAGGTAGATCGCTTAGCAATCTTTTGAGAGAATTGTATAGTTTGGTTTTAAGCTGAGATAATTCTGGTTAATTAGGCTAGTACTTATAGAAACCTATCCCTTTATTTTTAGCTGATGCCTTTCAGCTGTATTACCATAAACACACACACATACACATTCATATTGCATTGTGGTCATGAGTATCTGAAATCTTACAAACGCTCTATTTAGAACAAATACTTCAACTTTGGTCTGAAAAAATATGAAAAGACATAAATTACTGTTTGCTATAGTTTTCTTTGTCCACTTAGAATGGATTAAATTTTAAAATGAATTATTTGGTGATACCTTTTATTTAAAAAAAATCTTATGTTGCATTTTACATTGTTTTTAGAAAAGTCCTATAACTTACACATCCCAGTTTTTTTATTTGCATACTTATTTACCAGTTAATTTAATTACCAATTAAGTCAATTTGTTATCTTAAATTTTAAAAAAACTGTGCATGTTGAAGCAACAAATAATATCAAAGTCAGCTTACACCACTGGTTGCTAGTCACACAGTTCTCTTACCCAGAGGTACACACTAATTGCGCATCTCTTATACATTCTTACATATATATTCTTATATATTTCTTATAATACCTGAAGTATTGTATCCCTATAAAATGTACATAGGTTTTTTAAAACCTACTAGGATGTATGCATTTGCTTTGAATTGGAACTAAGGTGTTTTTGTATTTAGTGATAGTGTTGTCAAGGTTCAGTGCAGAATATAGAAATCACTAGATACTGGAGACAATTATTGTTCACTAGGGGAGTGACTTCCTCTGATGCCGCAGTTAGACCAGTTAGCCTAGGTAGTCACGGGACACCAGAGATCTAGAGAATGGCAGCTGCTGCTATCCGGAGACTGGAAGCTAGATCAAGAAGTTGCCACTACATTCATTCTTTTTTTTTTTTTAAAGATTTATTTATTTTTACGGAACTGGGGTACAAACCAGAGATACAGGGGCAGTGAGAGGATTCACCAGAGACAGAGTGGGGAGCAGAACAGGCTGACTGACAAAGTACACTGCTGAGGGGAGCAGTGAGCGGGTCAGGAGAGGTCTTCTGGGCCATGTGGGTCACCTCTGGGGCTGGTGGGGATAGAACTAGCCCTAGAGGTGCGGAAGTGGCTTTAGCTTGTTAGTGCTGTGCTTTAACCCGCTGTACCACCAGGGAGGGCCCACCACATTCATTCTTTATTGATACCTAGGAAGCTTCTAGAAATCAACTTCGTAACAAACAGCCACAGCTTTGTGACTACTGCCCTATTGCCAGATTTCACACCAGATCTTTTAGTGGTGGAACCCAGGTTACATACAGCCTCCTAGCAGCTAGATGGAATGATTGGAAATGGTGTGTAGAGTATGTGGAAAATACAGTTTAAAATTTTCCAAACTTGCAAATGGAAGAAGGTGAAGTAGAGGTTGATTTTATAGCAGTGGAGAGTCTACTACTGTAACACAATTAATTTCTCACCAGTTACTTTAAAATAGTGATTGAATTGCTTGTACCCACTCTTTCCCCCTGCCAAATTTACCCAGCTCAACTTTGTGATCTTTGTTTTTCATTAGGACTGGGCCGAGCCTATGCCCTGGCTTTTGCAGACAGAGGTGCATCAGTAGTGGGTAAGTTGATCTATTTTGGTAACTGAAGTACAGATCTCACAGTCTTTTTTCTTTATATCAAATAATTTATCAGGGTCAAATTTTATCTCTGATTTTTTTCTTTTGCCAACAGCTTTCTCCCCAAGGCTCACTTTATTTTTTAAAGATTTATTTATTTATGCATACAGAACTAGGGTACAGACCAGAGAAATGTTCTGGCCCAGTGCTGATTAGCTCTTTCCTGGAAAAAAAGAAAATGACCCACAATGTCTGCTTAATCCAGTTGTGTCTGCATCTTTTTAGGGACTACAGAGACTAATTTTTTACCAATTTAACTATGGAGATATTTGTAGCAGAAGAGCTACATTGGTAGGGGTGGTATTGCAAAGTGATGGGGGTCGTGTAAGAAGGCAGAAGGTGTGTATTTGGAAGAGTATTTATTTGTCAGACTTAGCTAGAGAGCCAGGTTTATGTTAGTTTAGGGAAGTCAGTCTGCTTGAATTGCAGAACTTTCACTGATACTTACTGCTGCTTTTCAGTGTGTGACCTACCTGTGAACATTCCAGACTGCCAGTGTGTTAGGTTCTTCTGCTCACCACTGCTTTCCATTTGCTTTTTTTAAACATGGATACCTGGCTTCCAGGTTGCGTCACATGCACAACCATTTGCCCTGTGTTATTTTTGTTCTGCTCAGCATATTTTTTTACTTGAGTAAGCAAAAAATAGTAAAGAGAAATAAACAAACGTCAGGTGTTACGATGCAGAGTATCTTGTTTGTAGAAAAGTAAGTTACCAAATTATTCTCTATCTCAGAGACCAGTGGAAGGAGCCCTATAGAAATACAGTCACTTCAGTCTTACACCTGTCAACTTTTGCCTCGATTAGGCTAGGTTAATATATCTCAGTGGCTTATAGTATTGGAATGTTTCATGTTTGTGTGAATTTTCAACTCCTAGTTTGCTGTGTCTACTCCATAATTTTTCCAATTTCAGGATCCCAGCTGAAGGAATAGCTGTTTGCAGGGCAAAGGGAAAAATAATAATTGAGCCTCTTCTATTCAGAAGTGGCATGTACATTTCACAGACCAACGTACATCATCTGGCCAAGCCCAAACTGAAGGGTATCACAAGATATTCTCTAATTTCATGTTAAAATTATGTTTTATGTTCATCATTATAATTCATTATCGAAATTTTAAATCTGGAGATAGGAACTGCTAAACCTTTGGCTGATAAAGTTTAGCAATTGACTTTTGGTTTTCTATAAATTGCATCTTTCAGGAAATGTTTGCACATATCTGAAGTACATGTTGGGAATGGAATACTTTTGAGATGAGCCATATCTAGTTTTCTGAATATTACTAGGTTTTATCTTGAGAGCATGAACATAACTAAGATTGGCACTGAAGTGTTCCGTAAGAATAACCTTTTCTTTGGCAGTAAGAAAGGCAGAACATTTTCTATTTTTGAACTGGGGGAGTGACATCTTTGGGTAAATGAAATTATAATCTTTTAAAGTAAGATTGACAGGATTTCTTCTCTGTGCTGCATTACTGAATAGCTGCTAAAACTTAGTGTTACTTTCATGTGGTCTGATACTGGACCCTATGTTTGTAACCATTTGTGATTCTACAGCCAAAATATAAAATGTAAATGAGTTGTCCTTGAAGGTCAAGCTTCCAATCTTGACTCAGCTATCTCATTACATGACTTTTCTGAATATTAGTGGCCACCTTACTCAGTTTCCAGGCCTTTGGTGGGGGGTAAGTGACACAAAACTAAATCCCTGTGTTAAAGGGAAAGAAAGGAGCCACACACTGTGCTCAAGGACCAGATGTATGGAAGTGAACTTGAGGTCTTACTCAGGGGGCATCCCAACCCCCTAATGTAAAACATGTTTCTCTTACAGATACTTAGAGAGAAGGGCACACTGATACATTCTTCCCAAGGATTGGCACAGTGCTTTGCTTAGTAGTCAAGCAGGAAAACAGGAGGGACTACCTATAATAATCGAAGCAGTGTAGTAAGCCAGAATACAAGGGATCCTGACAGTAGGGGAGAGCAGTAGGTTCCAGCACAGATTCTGAGCAAGGGAATGACTCAGCGTAAGGGCTGCCTGTGTGCCACCTCCCAGCAACAGAATGCTGGTAGCCTGGAAAAGTGAAGACCTGAGGAACAAATGACCTGGAAGGCGCCTGCAGTAACCTGGGCCTGAAGTGACAGAATGGGGAAGAATGGGTAGACATTTCTTAGCAGTAGAAATTGCTCAGTGCCAAAGCTCTCTACCTTAAGGTCTAAATCATCCTGCAGAGTGGTGTATACAGTAGACACACGGTGAACACAGTGAACACTGAAGTGGGAACACAGTGACATTGGGAAGCATCATAAAGTCAGTAAGACCTCATGACTCAGTGACTTTTGTGGTTCAGAAGTGGGACAAGGGACAGTGCCAGCAGAGAAGTGACACAGAGACGGTGAGAATTTGAGGAAGATGGTTATCTGTTTGCTGTCAAGATGAGATATAGTCCCTCAGCTGGGGTAGCAGCCCTGGTATCAGGAGACCCAAAGCATCTTTCTTATAGTCATTGGAGCCACTAGTCACAGAAGGCTGGGGTAAAGGACAGAGAAAGAACAAGCAAACAGCTTCCAAGAGCAAAGACCAGTACAGCAAATAGAGTCACTAATGGCCAATCCAGATTTCTCAATCTGACTTACCCAACAAGACATCTAGAAATGCTGTACATAATACTTATGCTCAGATGGTGCCTCTGTTTCAGCATTTCAGTAGAGGAATTTATGGTCTGTAACATGACAACAAATTAAAAAATCTTTTACTTAGTAAAAGATACCTAAAAGCTTGTAAGAAAGAGAAATGTTCCAAATGATGATTAAACGATAATACAAGTAATAGGTCCATAAAATAAAATGTTACTTTACTAGTACTCAAAGAGATATAAATTCTCATTATTTTCCATTGAATAGTGACATTGCTTTATAACAAGCTATAGATTTCAGATGTACAGATACATAGCGGTATCTGTATCTGTTACATTATCCTCATCACCAGGAGTCTAATTTCTGCCCCTCACCATGCGGTTGATCCCTTTCACCCAGTTTCTCTACCTCCCCACCCCCTTAACTCTTGCCTCTGGTCACCAATATTTGTTCTTTTAGTCTAAAAATCTGGTTTTCTGTTTGTTTATCTTCCAATGAGTGAAGTCATGTTACTTGTTTTTCTACCTGACTTTCTTTATCTAAGTGTTCTCCCTTCTAGGACCATCCATGCAGTTACAAATAGCAGGATTTTAACATTTTGTGGTGCTTTTTTTGAGTAGTTTTCCAGTGTCAGATCCAAACCCTGTCTGTATCCACCCACTGTGGATGGGTTGTTTCCAACTCCTGGCTGCTGTGAGCAGTGCTGAATGAGCATGGGAATGTGCAAGTCTGATCAGATTAGTGTTTTCCTTCTGTCAGTACCTAGAAGTGACATAATTAGATCATGTGACAGTTCTAGTCTTAGTTGTTTGCGGGCTCTCCGTACCACTTTCAGCAGTATCTGCACCAATTTACATTTCCACCATTCCACCTTCTCTTCAACACTTGTTTCTTGTCTTTTTGACAATAGCCATTCTCACAACTGTGGGGTGATAACTCGCAGTCCTTTGGATTTGCATTTCCCTGATGCTAAGAGATGTTGAGCATCTTTTCATATGTCTGTTATCCATCTGTACTCCTTCTTTGGAGAAGTATCTATTCAGATCTGCCCATTTTTTAATTGGGTTGGGTTTTTTTTTGTTGTTGCTGTTTGTTGTTGGTCTTGCTTTATGAGTTCTTTATGAAATTGGATATTTACTGTTTTATGATTTATTTATCTATATTTACTCTCATACATGATTTGAAAATATCTTTTCCTACTTGTAGATTTCCTTTTTTCTTTTTAATAATGGTTTCTGTACAGATGCCTTTTAATTCATTGTAGGCCAGTTTTGAAGAACTTGCCATTATATTTTCTCCTATGTATTTTATAGTTTCAGGTATTACATTCAAGTCTTTAGTTCATTTTGTATATGGTGTGAGAGAGTGAATTAGTGCACTGTCACATGGGGCTGTCCAGTTTTCCCAGCACCAGTTATTGAAGAAACTTTCCTTATTCCATTTTATAAGAAATATAAATGAAAAATACAAAATAAAATAATGAGCTATACTTTGTTTAAATGTCAGATAAAAATACTATCAAATATTGTGACTCTAGGATCTATTAAACAGATTTTCTCACAAATACCTGGCCCTATTTTTAGGCCACCTGTACCTGATAATATATTTAAGTATTTCCCTTTGTATCAGTTCTAAATGTACAGTTCCCTGGATCCTTATATCCCCTCTCATCATTTTTGGCCCTTCGCATGTATTTAATAAAATCATGAGATTCAATTTTTAGGAAAAATTGTACTTTTTAATAGAATGTTCAAGTCATTGATTTGTTTAATACGCTAGAAATAGGCAGAATACTTTAAGTCTTAAACCCTTCAGAGTTATAAACTGGAGTTGTATGGAAGATTGATGAATATAAAACATTTTGGGATATTTTCATGGTTTCAGACTCCTTGTCATATATTTACCATTTTACCTACCTATTTTAAAGTTTCAATGGAATGACAGTCTCTGTTGTTTTCTCCACACCCTCCTCTAAAAAATGATTTTTAAACGTTTTTAGTGGTAGTTATTACATTCATTTTAGGAAAAAGAAACTTGCTCAAAGCATTCGAAGAGCTGAATAGCATTGTAGCAGGTCCAACTTCTAATATAGGTCTTCCATTTCATAAGACCTCTTCTTGCCTCAGAGCCTGGGGCAAGTTATCTAACTTTTCTCAAGCTGTTTCTTCATCTGTAAAAGTAGGAAAATTGTTTCCTGCCAACATTCTAAAAATGTGCAGAGGTCACAGGTAGCAGTGCACAACATTGGAAATGTAAGGTATACACAGTACCAGTATAAGGTAATGATGCCATGTAAAAAGATTTTGCTTCTTTTCTTCCTTCTTACTTACTGTATTATATAATTGAAGCCATACAGTTAAACAGTAACTGTCACTAGTGTGGATACATTTTTCTGTGTACAACTGCAAAGAATCTTTTAATACTTACAAAAGCCTTTATTCTTTTCTAGTCAAGGTTGTGATCCCTGTGATTGAACTCTGTGATAGTGGGATGAATGAATGGGGTCAATGTTTATTTAGTTCTTTCTAATGCAGAGATTTATCTTGAATAAGTCTGTTCTGATACTGTTGCACTGAATGTCACTGATCTCAATCAATAAACTACTTATCTCCACTTCAGTGTTTATCTGCTTGCACTTTGAACAGCTTCCACTTGAGGGTAGTGTTTCATTGCACAAGTGTACAATTGAACTGTTCTTTCATTACTTAAGTACAGGTTTTGCCAATTTGCTTTTAAACGGTTCTTTGCTAAATTAAAGAGTCTTACAAGACTGCATGTCTTAAAATCTTGATTCCCACCCCTCCCCCCACTGGTTGCTTATGTCATTTGATAAATTATGTAGAAATAAACAATAGGAACTCAGTCTTTGAGAATCTTACCATTTCTTTCATCTCTTGAGGGTTAATGCTAACCTATGGTCATTATTTTCTGTGCAACATTTCTTATTTGCAGTAAGTCTGATAAGACTATATTGCTAGGAAAGCTGTCTCAAAAACTCATTGCTTTCAAAGCAGTTAAGTTATTTTTGACTTAGCTGATTTTAAGCATGGTGAGGCTCTGGCTTTTCTCAACATCATTCTTTTATCTCCTTTATCACTCAGCCTCATTACTTGCAGCTCTCAACCCAATCCAAAAAAAGTGGACTTTTCTTCAGAAAACAAACCTTGTTTTCTTTTCAAATGTGGTGTATCATCAATTTGGTAATCTTAAAAGGCTTTAAAATCCAGTACATGCTGCAACGCTTCTTGTTAATTTGTAATTCTCTTTTACGTTAATATTCTACAAAGTCAATGCAGTAACCCTATAAAATGATCATTTCATAATACAAATTAATTTACTTTAATCCCAGGTATTTTCTTAGTTATTTGGTATTGTATATTATTTTGTAAGTTTTTTGCATATTTTGTAAATTTTACCTTAAATTGTGTAATTTCGTTTTGTTGCTACTACTTCTCTTGGCCTTCAGTTACTTTATGCTGTTGTTTTACATCACTGTAGTCAGTACATACTGAACTTTAAATAAACTGTAAATTCATTTCAGACAGGTGCTAATCTTAGATTTCTTTGTAAATAGTTAACACTCAAAGTTTGCATCTACATAATTTGACATGGAGGATGTTATTTGGGGAGGTCATTTGTTAAACAGATAAAGATGGAGCAATTGTATAAATTAGTGGCTAAATATATGTTCTTTCTGTATATAACTTTTGACCTCCTACTAGACAGTTTTTAATATCTTTCATCATAGACCACTACACCGAATGTCGTCTGAAAATTTAGAGAAAAAGAAAAAAAGATTCTTTACTTGGAGAAGATAATGTTAGATGCTAATTTTTTTTGTTTGTTTTTTCTTTTTTTATTGTGGTAAGAACATGTAATAGGAGAACTACCCTTTTAACAAACTGTTAAATGTGTATTATAGTATTATCAATCCTAGGGCCTGTGCTATACAGCACGTCTCTAGAATTGACTCATCTTCCATTATTAAAACTTTGTATATATTGATTAGCAGGCCTCCCTTTGTCTCCCCTAGCAACTGCCATTCTACTCTGATTGCATGAGTTTGACTATTTTAGAAATACAAGTGGAATCCTGCAGTATTTGTTCATCTGTGGCTAGATTATTTCACTTATCATAATGTTTTCAAGGTTCATGGATTCTGCACAATTTCTTTACTTTTAAAGGCTGGGTAATATCCTGCTGTGGGAGTATACCACCTTTTCTTTATCCATTCCTCCACCAATGGACATTGAGATTTTTTGCATCTGGGCTATTGCGAATAGTGCTGCAATGACATGTGATAAATATGTCTTTAAGATCCTGATTTCAATACTTTTGAATAAAGATCTCAGAGGGGACTGGCCAATGTCACACTGTCATTATATTTTTAATTTTTTGAGAAGCCTCTATACTGTTTTCTTATGTATTTAATCTTAAAAATGGATTTTCATGTTTTTTTTTGTCTCTAAAAGTAGATTGAGTAACATTTAAAAAAAAAGATGAAGTATTGCAATGTTTAATATTTTATGATGTGAAGCCCTATTTCAGTATTTTTTTCACTTTCATATATATATTTAAACAAAGAAGCATGTTTTGAAAGTGTGTATCTCCTGGTGTGTCTGGGTAATGGGGTTAGAATAAAAGCGAATTGGAGAGATGGCTGAAAAAAACACACTAGTAATACAATTTCATTTCAGCTCATATTTTTGAGATTTAAGAAATGAATTTTTGTTTGTTTTTGCTTTGCAGTGAATGATTTAGGCGGGGACTTCAAGGGAGTTGGAAAAGGCTCATTAGCTGCGGATAAAGTTGTTGAAGAAATCAGAAGGAGAGGCGGAAAAGCAGTGGCCAACTATGGTATGATATTTGAGAGAATGATACTATTTCTTTTATTTTCTTTCAGCCAGTGTTGTTGCTACATTAGCCGTTGAACAGATATCTCGGTGTTTCTGTGTATCTATGAAATTAGATTTTACTTCAGTTTGTCAAAGTTCTTGGCTATATATTTTGTCAGAATATTTTTTTT